TCGGTTGCTGGGACTGCTGACCCTGACAGCCTGAGTAACCACCTTGAAAACTCTGGAGCGGAGGTGCACTGATAGGAGCTAGTGATGCACTATAAGGTAGCTGACCTGAATACTGCATATAAGAACCACGATCACCTGGAGCACCATGACAAGCCTGAAGTGCTGAATGAAACAGCCTGGGAGGGTGGCCCCTACCAAAATAATCCCTACCTCCAGATGAGGCACCACTAAACCTGCCAGAATGACGAGGCCTCTTGTTAGACCCCTGACCACTCCCTTGTAACAGAACTATCTCAACTCGCCTGGCCACATTGGCCGCATCTTGGAAAGAAATCTCACTCCCTATCTCTTTAGCCATCAGCAATCTGATGGGCTGATCTAGTCCCTCAATAAACCTCCTCACCCTCTCTCTCTCTCTCTCGGTGGGAAGTATAATAAGAGCATGACGGGCCAAGGCAATAAATCTGGTCTCATACGGAGTGACGGTCATAAAACCCTACTTGAGACGCTCAAACTGCCTCTGATAGTCCTCCCTCTGAGTGATAGGAAGAAACTTATCTAGAAATAACTGAGAGAACTGGTCCCAAGTCAAAGTAGGTGACCCAGCTAGTCTAGCCAAACAATAATCCCTCCACCAAGTCTTGGCGAAACCAAACAGACGAATAACAGCAAAGTCGACCCCATTGGTCTCCCATGTTCCGCAGAACCTCATGACAGATGTCCAAATAGTCCTAAGGATCCTCTGAAGATGTACCGCCATAGGTTGTAGTGAAAAGCTTGGTGAACATGTCCACATCCACAAAGCATCAGCAGACATAGCTGCTCCATTGACGGTCTGAGCTACAACACTCGGTTGAACTACCTCAACTGGCTGAGCTGCTAGGGTCTGGAACTGAGGAGCCATCTATTCCCGAGTGCGAGTAGTAAGAGTCTGTGCTCCTCCCCCAGCCTGAGAGACGACTGGTACCACAGGAAGTAAGCCTGCCTGAGTGACACTCTTCATAAAACCCACTAGACAAACCAGAGCATCCTGGAGTACCGGGGTAACGATGAACCCATATGGAACCTGAGCTGGCCCTGCTGGAACGGTCTGGGCTGGAGCCTCCTTCTGAACTCTACTTGAGGTTCCGCTACTGGTGTTGCTACTCTGGGCTGAGCCCTGCCCCTACCTCAGCCTCTAGCACGGCATCGGCCTCGTCCTGTGCCCCTCGTAGAAGCTACCACTGGGGTCTCAGGCTGCTGATCATCGGATAAAGAAACACGTGTTCTCGTCATCTGTGAAAGAACAGAGTAGAAGTTCAATTAGCATTGAGAAGTCAAATCGCACGACAGAGCAGAATAGATGTGAAGTTATTCCTAAACTTTGTAGCCTCTAGGGGATAAGCACAAACGTCTCCATACTGATCCCTCAGACTCTACCTAGATTGTTTGCGAATTATGAGACCTATGCAACCTAGAGCTCTGATACCAACTTATCATGACCTGGATTTCCCACCGTTGGGATCGTGATGGCGTCTACTCGTGAAAGCTAGGTAAGCCGACAATTACAGTTGTTACCACCATTTTTATTAATCACACAGAGTCAGATATTAGCTAAGCAAGATAATTAAGAAACGCGGAAAAGACATAGTAAACCAACAGTCTAATACATAGCTACCCCCAATAGATCAGGTGTCACAATCCACGAATGACTAAGATTTTCACTACAAATACATGTCTGAAAGAAATACAACTGTTCTCGAAATAGATGAGACGGAAGAAAATAAAATGGGGAAAGGGGAAACTTCAGGCTCTGCAAATGCCAGCAGATCTACCTTGGTCTCCCTGGACTGAAGACAGCTATCTCAAGCTACTCACCGGGTCCGGCATCAAAATCTGCACAAAAGAGTGCAGAGTGCAGTATCAATACAACCGACCCCATGTACTGGTAAGTGTCGAGCCTAAACACGGCGAAGTAGTGACGAGGCTAGGACATGACAACCATATAAACATGTGCACTTAAACCATATACAAACAGAACAATAGAAATAGGAAATAACAGATAAAGATGGGAATGGGACATGCTGCGGGGAATATCAAGGTCTAACAATAAACCAATAAAGAAGCATAACGAACATCATATTTGTATCAACAAGAATAATGAAACAGTACATGTGCACGACATCACCGTTCGTGCTTTTACTCTCGTTCTCACCATATGAAACAACAGAAACGGCACGACATCACCCTTCGTGCATTAACACTCACAGTATTGGCATGACATAACCATTCATGCTTTACACTCTTCCTTACCCAACAATAGAAACAATACGTCCCGACAAGGGAATCAACAATATAAACAATAACATCACGGCAATAGAATCAGCTATAACCAATCTCGTTTCAACAGTTACTTTACAAAATGAATCTCAATTTGAGCCAATACTCAATAATGGTCAATTACCAAGAAATTATCATGAATCATGTTCAACATTGATAATCATCAACCCAACCATGGACAATACATAATAGAGTCATAATAACATGGTATAAGATGCACGGTCATGCTTGACACCAACGTATAGATACTCGTCACCACACCTATACGTCGTACTCAACATTAACACATAGCAAATAAGACCACAACTCCTATTCCCTCAAACTAAGGTTAGACCCAACACTTATCTCAATTCCACGGACAAAATCAAGCCTCAATTACCGCTTTACCTCTCGGTTCTACTTCCAATCCGCTTGTATCTAGTAAAAATTTACTTAATAACATCAATAAATGCTAAATAAACTAATTCTAATGCATGAAAATAGATTTCCCAATGTGTTTTCCAAAAAGTCAAAAATGACCCGGGCTCGCTTGGTCAAAACTCGAAGTTCGAACCAAAACTCGATCACCTATTCACCCACAAACTCAAATATGCAGTTAGTTTTTAAATCGGGCCTCAATTTGAGGTCTAAATCCCCAAAATTCGAAAATCATAACTTTTACCCAAAAACACCCAATTTTTCATGAAAAATCCTAAATTTTGAAGTGAAATTATGTAAACAGATGAATTTAATTGAAGAAGATGAGTTAGAAATCACTTACTTATGATTTAGAGAAGTTTGAGTCTTTGAAAAATCGCCTAGGGATGCTTAGGGTTTGAGAAAATTGTAAAATGATGAAAATCCCGTCTGAAATTCCATTTAACAGGTCGCAGATATCGCAAATGCGATCAGGGGTTCGCAATTGCGAACCCTTTGAAATTCTGCTACCTTCGCATTTGCGAAGAAATTGTCGCATTTGCGACAGAAGGGCCTTCGCAAATTCCGACCCAGAGTTCGCATTTGCAATGTGGGCCTGCCCAGACCTGGTTCGCATTTGTGACATATTGGTCGCATTTCCCAAGCCTGATCACTTCGCAATTGCGAAGAGGCCTGTGCAAAAATACCAGATGCACAACTGCATTTTCCTAAGTCCGAATCACCCCTTGACCTATCCAAAACTCACCCGAGCCCTCAGGCCTCCCAACCAAACATACACACAAGTCTAAAAACATCATACGGACTTGCTCGTGCGACCAAATCATCAAAATAACATCAACAACTACGAATTTAACCTCAAATTCATGAAATTTATAAGATAGTTCAAATTTTCCATTTTCTCTACCTAAGGTCCGATTTATATCAAATCAACTCCGATTCTTACCAAATTTCACACATTCGACTTAAATGTTATCTTATACCTGTACCAGGCTCCGGAACCAACATACGAGCCCGATACCATCAAGAACACACACCATTTTGTTTCCAAAAGTCTTTATATTTTCTAGCAAATAATTTTCTTTAAAAATTCTTTTCTCGGGCTAGGGACCTCGGAATTCGATTCCGGACATACGCCCAAGTCCCATATTTTACTACGGACCCTACGGTACTGTCAGATTACAAGTCTGGGTTCGTTTACCAAAAATATTGACCCAAGCCAACTTTAATCGAATTTTAAAGGCTAAATTCAATATTTCTCTTAAAGTTCACATAAAAACTTTTTGGAGACGCGCCCGGACTGTGCACGTAAATCAAGGTGAGACAAAAAGAGGTTTTTAAGGCCTCGAAACACATAGTTGACTTCTAAAATAAGAGATAACTTTTTGTATCATCACATTCATGGTCTTACTTGCATAATAGACCGGATGAAAAATCTTGTTGATGCGTTGCCCCAAAATAGCCCCTACCGCTACATCACTTGCATCGTACATGAGTTCAAAAGGAACACTCCAATTTGGAGCGGTGATCATGGGAGTGGTAGTCAACTTGAGCCTTAGTAATTCAAAGGCTCTCATGCAATCATCATTGAATTGGAACTTTGCATCTTTCTCCAAAAGCTTGCACAACAGGTTCACCACTTTAGAGAAGTCCTTGATGACACGCCGGTAAAATTTCGCGTGGCCTAAGAAACTCTGCACGCCTTTCACTGAAGTTGGAGGTGGAAGTTTAGAAATCACCTCAATCTTTGCCTTGTCGACTTCAATGCCATTCTTTGAGATCTTGTAGCCAAGGACAATGCCTTCCTCGACCATAAAATGACACTTCTCCCAATTGAGCACCAAGTTTGTTTCTTCACATCTTGCCAGCACTTTATCCAAGTTCGCGAGACAAGCACCAAAATAATTCCCGACCACCAAGAATTTATCCATGAAGACTTCAAGGTAATCCTTCACCATATCCGTGAAGATCGCCATCATACACCTCCGAAAAGTCGCTGGTGCATTGCATAACCCAAATGACATCCGCGAGAAGGCGAAAATACCATAAGGACATGTGAAAGTAGTTTTCTCTTGATCTTCCGGAGCAATAAGAATTTGATTGTAGCCAAAATATCCATCAAGAAAATAATAGAAAGCACGGCCGGTCAATCTATCAAGCATTTGATCTAGGAAGGGAAGTGGAGAATGGTCCTTCCTTGTGACTTTATTGAACTTACCATAGTCCTTGCACGCTCAGTTGTCAAAATAAACTTCACAAACTAGCTAACAGTCCTCTGGGCCGGAGTATGAACGTCTATGTTTTTTACGGACACAAGTTAGGATCCATTACACTTTCAAGCATTAAGCGTTCCTTTTGAACTAATTGAATCTGCCTCGTGTCAGTTTCCTTGAACAGTCAAAGACTAATTTCTTCATCCGGAAGAAATAGTAAAGAGGAATTTGAAGGTAGTGCCTTCATGAAATAAACATACTCTTTTCTTTTCAATAGATAAGTAAATGCAAAAGATGAGCTTTTTAGGAAAACTCGAAGGAGATTTATAGGTAGACAAAGAAGTTTTCGGAATTTTAAACTTTTCGGGAAGTCTCTCCGCTTTCTCGACTTCTCCATCATTTTTTATTGTTGTTAGTATCTCTGTTGATACCTAACTTACATTTAGTAGTATGTATCAATTTCATACGTAGTGTTTCTCCCGGATCGGCTACGAGTAGTATTTCTAAGCATGAATGTAAGATTGTTATGAACACGCCCTTTACCAATTATACTATTGGGCTGTTATTTGGGCCAGTTGTTAAAATGAGGAAATACTAATATGTGATGTGGGATTTGGGTTGAGAAAATCCATTAAAATATTAGAGTGCTGAAGGAAATGGAGGAGATATAAATAGCATGAGTGTGCGTAGTTGCTAGGCTTGGTCTTTTCTTTTCATTAGCTATTTTGTAATAGCAGTCTGGAACCTCCTTTTTCTTGTTTTTCGTTTTTTTTGTTCCATGAATCAGTTGTAATTCGTTTGGTTGAATATTAGATTATATGTTCCTTTGGTAAATATGGATCCATTACATTGGTGCTCTCGTTGTCCCTCCTCTACCAACTTTGTGGCTTCTTTTCTACCTCCTCCATACCCATTCCAACAACCATTTTTTCTGACTCCACTTCCGCCCTCTGTGCCTCACTTTTCCACTTCCTGCTCCAGATAAATCACTACTGCGGGACAGAGTTGTGGCTCCATTATATTTGCTGAAATGATCAACGGGGAGACTAATATGGCTGTTCTAATTTCAGTACATATCTATTCAGACATGACCGCAACCCTGGTGTTCGACGAATTGCCTCATAGCCTCTCCAAGGTGTTTGCTGATCCACAAACCAATCAAAATCCCAACCTATTAGAGTTTGAGCACTCTACTGCTGCTGTCATTTTGTCTGTTGAATCTGCAAATATTTCGGATGCAGTCGTCATTTCCTCTGAGTTAAACTCTGGTTTGGACGATGACAAAATAGAGGAAGAAGATTTCATGACGACAAATCTTAATTCGCAGCCACTTGTGATTGTTACTTGGGACACAAAGTCAGAAATTGAGCGCCACAAATCTCTGTCCATTGCCCCTATTTTCTCAGACAGCGGCACGAAATCTGGAGTCTCTTCCTCACTGTTCGATGAAATGCCTGACCATAGTGGAGCGTTTCGATATAGTCTAATCTCTGAAAAGGTGGCTGCTCAATATATGTTACTTCATTTTCCATTTGATCCTGGTTCAGTAGCTGGACGTGTGTTTGACAGTATAGAAATTGTGTTTGATAATAGTCATCAGTTGAATCTTCCATGTATTACACCACTATCAACAATGGCATTGGGAGAGGAATCCATGCTGCCTACTGCAGGCCAGCTATTAGACACAATGTCCCAACCGTGTGACCATTCCAAGATGTTCCTCCATGAATTATCCGCTGCCAATATCCTTACCCCTATGGTTAAATATGAGTGGAAAAATGGAAACTCAAGCCCTACGGACAAGGTATTTGTTGAAAGCTTCCGACGAATTGACACCAAGTTGCCTTGGGGTGGTATTGAGACTATCGCGAACAGCGCAATAGGATTTTGTGCTGGCTATACTGATATTTTCATGAGCAAAGTTGCAGGAGAATTATGGGTCTGCCAATTTATACAGGAGCTTGACATGGAGTTTGGCTGTATGGTTTTCGATACACTATCGGATTGGGTAATATCTGTAATATTTTGTGATTGTAATAGAGTTGTTGCTTCATTTCCACCTGATTTTGGACTACCCAATTGCAAGTGGGTAGATACTGGTCAAGTAAGTTATTCCTTTGATATCCGACAATGCAGCCAAATTGAATCTCCAAGTAAGAAGTTTCCCATTGCTCGAATACTTGTTGGCATGCTGCTATCTGCTTGAACCATTACTATATGTTTGCTATTTGTTATTGTGTGGACAATTGGTTCGATAGCGGGCAGGGATATAAGGCTGATTCAAGGGGAATTGACATGGGTGGTAAAAACTGTGATTATCTTACAAATTCTTGTGCATCTTATAGAATACTGGATAGTTTTGTTTGGATGTTACTATATGGTGGTCCTTCATGTGCATTTTCTGATTTTGATCATGACGATAACCACAACATATTAAATAACTTGTTTGTTGCTGATGGCGGAGGGCTTCCCAGATTGCTAGTTGAAGACAAAGCAAGATATGCCTCTCATATCCTCAGTTTATTTTTTCTTCAATCTGAATCTGAGATTCATCTGTTGATAACTCATACAGACCGCAGTTCACGCGGACTAGAAGCACCAAAAGCTGTGCTCCAACTTCTGGGAGATGTACACCCTTTAATACATGTTCTATGTCATAGGAAGCGCAGAGAAACTTTAAGTCACGCTTGGTCTGCTATAGAATCTTGCCTGCTAGAAAACCTTTTCCACCCTCACTTTATTTGTCATGAGATTGTTCTTGCACTTCGGTGCTTTACCTCATGTCATGCTGACATAATTGTGGTCGCTGAACTTTTTGAAGAGTTTTGTTCGTTACTGACTTATGCAGAGCCCTTGTGGACATTGCCTGCTGGAAAGCTTACTTTGGGCATCGCTAACTTGTCTATTGTGGTTGAACAATTGCAAAAGGTTATGATAGTGATCAATATTTTTATTGCAGGATTTTGTGCAACTTATTTGAAATTGGTGCAGCTCAATGGCCTCTTTCCCAGTTGTGGTGGTGCATATTTATTTAAATTGTTGGCACATAAGGTTAAGGGTGCTACTACTTCTTTTAAAGATGGTGTCTATGGATATGTACCATGTCCTGTATCTATGTTTGCAACAGAGAATACAACCTATGTGGCCACAAAGGTGACAGTATCTTATGTGATGTCCTTCTATACCATAGCTATGGGTTGTGATATCTGTCTCCTCATGTACCAATTGATATATCCAAACTCATCAAGCAATGACTTCTTTCACTTCACTGCAGCTAAGTTTGGAGTGACTAATTCATCTGCATTGCTTGACCTGAAATCCAAATGGGATTCTGAACCGTCCAACAAGAGGGCTAGAAATATTCTGCAACCTACATTGAGCATACTTGCCATATCTAGCCATGTATTCTCAGAAGCTTTATCAATTGTTGTTTTGCTCTTGGAAACAATAACAACGCTCGATATTATTATTGACATGGACTACATTCTAGGAGATATCCCAAGAGCCACAAGTTCCATGATGGGATATGGCAGTCCTTACCAAAGATAAGTTGTCCATAGTGCTTTCTTTCTTATCTTTGTCATGAATGATCCTATTTTCGTCAACCTTATGAAGTCTATACCACCTGGTTTAGCAGAAAGTTGAGTCTTCCTAATTTTCTCATTGGTGTCATTTTCTGTGTGTTGCTTTTACTACCTACAAGCTCAACAGGTTGGGGTTACTGTATTTTGTGTAAATTGAGTGAAGATCAACAATATCTTGTTGATTGGATGAGTTGCTGCTGTGGTGGAACTAATAAGAAAAATATGCATGAGTTATGGACAAGAGTTAAATTTCTTTGATACTTCTACATCACCTTGGAAATGGGCTTTCATGCAAGGTTCTACAATGCTCCTTCAGAATAGATATCAAAGAAAAACAATTTATATTCATATTACATTATGCAAGGCTAAGGGAATGAATGTTGTGTGGGAAGAGCCTATTGATGTAAATGTTCAATTATTGACGTTCTTCCCTGTACTATTTCTCTTACAAGGATTAAAAGCATATGTTGGAGTCTTGTTGCTTCAAACTATATTTACTGGTTTTACAAATGACGGACAGAAGCTTGCTTTGAATCTGGAAGACGTGGGAGATATGAATTTCACTATAAGAGGCTTAATATTGCCTTGTAGGCAAATTATTACAGATGGTGCTTTGAGCCATCCTTGGAGTGAAATAAATTCTAGTGATCTATTTCCTATGCCCAATGAAGCAAAGACAATTCTTGAGGGCAAATTCCGTAACTCGAACCTTGAGGACAAGGTTCTTATTGAAGGTGGGAGTATTGTTATGAACATGCCCTTTACCGATTTTACTATCGGGCTGGTATTTGGGCCAGTTGTTAAATGAGGAAACACCAATATGTGATGTGGGATCCGGGTTGAGAAAATCCATTAAAATATTAGAGTGCTGAAGGAAATGGAGGAGATATAAATAGCAGGAGTGTGTGTAGTTGTTAGGCTAAGCTAGAACTTGGTCTTTTCTTTTCATTAGCTATTTTGTAATAGCAGTCTGGAATTTCTTATTTTTCATGTTTTTTGTTCCATGAATCAGTTGTAATTCCTCAGTTTGGTTGAATATCAGATTATATGTTCCTTTGGTAAATATGGATCCATTACAAAGATACCTTAAAAGTGTTATTTTTTGTTATGTCATAACTAGATATATCATCTAAAATGTTTTGTTATTGTCAATATATTTGATTGTTGTATAAAAATATAAATGTTAGATAATAAAAACTAAACTTAGATAGAACAATTAAAGAAGAACTAAAAGAATTACTAAATGTTTCAGAAAAAAGAATTGACTGCATGTGCGATGAGTCTTATCTGCGTTAGTTAATCTCATTAATGAATTTTAATGCAATTGGATTTGTATGGTGACAAATTGGAAATCTTGAAATTGTAATAGCATAGAGCAAAAACTATTAGTAAGTTTTAAAAGTAATATGAAATTATATCATCACCGAGATTAAATCATTATTACTTACATGTTATGTTATACAATATAAACACTCGGGTTTCATATGAAATAAGAGCACACTTACAAAATGAAGGGGATAGAGAAACATCTCCGTTTGACTTGAATAGATATACTCCCTCCGTTCCAGTTTATGTGAACCTATTTCCTTTTTGGTCCGTTCCAAAAAGAATGATCCTTTTCTAAATTTGAAAACAATTTAGCTTAAACTTACAATTCTATCCTTAATAAGAAGTTTTTATAACCACACAAATACTCTGGGCCCCTTTTTGACTTGTTTAGGAATACAAATTCCAAAAGTCTTCATTTTTTCTTAAACTCCGTGTCCAGTCAAACAGGTTCACATAAATTGGAACGGAGGGAGTATCTAATATCTTTAATCATTCAAAAAACTAGATACCTTCCAAGACCTAATATACTAGTACTAATTTTTTGTAGAAAGAATTACGGCCCTTGTCACTTGGTCTAACAGCCCAACCGAAAATGGCCCAGATTTGAAGCTCTTACCCTATTTAGCCCATGTTGTACATAACTTGAAAGAAACTTTTCAGCCTTTAGCCCATTATTAAAGATATAATTTTAGGGTTTTTATTATTTTCTTCTTTCTTCATTCCCTGGACACAAAATTCTCTCACTGCCTCTCACTTCTTTCTTTCCAACCCACATAGATCCCTCATACTCTCTTAACCTAACCCCCGTTGTTCCCCCTCCCCTACCCCCTACGCAGTTCTGCTATCAATGGCTCGAAGAAAGCTCGGGCTCCTACTCCGTCGTCCATGGTGGCAAGCAGAAGAATATTGAAGATTTTTGAAATTGGGTCTGACTCTTTGTAGTTTGAAACCTTAATTTCCAATGTCTGGTCGAGTTCCGAGGAGAAAAGTTCGGAAGCTAAATCATTGATTCCCAAGTTATTGATTCGGAAGCTAAATCGGAAGTTTGAAACCTTAATTTCCAAGTTATTGATTCCCATGATATGTGTGTTGTCCTCCTTGAAGTCGAATCTGAAATTGGGTGTATCGTATCCGTGCGTTGAATTCCGAATCGTTGGCACAAAATTGCTAAGCTATAGACGAGTTGAATCATCCAATACCTTCCACTATAATTCGAGGCTTGGATAAAAATCATAACTATGTAGCAGTTTGTATAAACATTGTATAATAGTGTATAATTGTGTTGTGTATATGAATATACAAACACCTCTTATACACTATTATACATGTTTATACAAGTTATACATATTTATAATTGTGTATAAATGTGTATATTTGTGTATAATGTTGTATAATTATATATTTTTTTCAGTTTATAACGATGTATATACATTGTTAGTGTGTAAGAGGCCTCTACGGAAGTTTGACAGTTCCTTTTCTTCTTCTTTTTGGTGTATGTGCTGTATAAAAAAAAATTGTACGCGTTGGAGGGATTCTACAATTCTTTTACCAAGTTTTTATTTTTCTTTTATCCTGTTGGATTGCTTCAGCAATTGCACATAATAGTATATGAAAACAACTGGTTGTATAAAGAGGGAGCAATAACCGTAGTTGATTATGTGAAATAAGCTGTCTTTCGGGAATTAGCCGATTATTTTTGGGCTATAAATTTGCAAAGTGGTATCTAAACTATTATGTTACAAGTCAGGTGTGTGAGTTGTATTTATGTGAAATTATCTTTTTTGTATGGTTATAATTTACATTATAATCAATATAACAAAGCCAGTAGTTTCTCTATCACTTACTAATGATTTCTTCAGAAGCTTCATAAGTGGCCGTTTCTCCGTTTGCTAAATTTCGACAACAGGGTTTAAATCTCTATATAGTTTGTTTCATTTTTCGTAGTCACCTAATCCATTTGTCCATTTAATTTGTTACGGGGTTACTTAGCTAGAATTTGGTCATAAATTTGATTGAAACTTGAAAAAAGAGTTATTGAAGTTGTATTGAAAAATAATTTTTGAAAGTTGAAATTATGTTTGGACATGCATTTTATTTGAAAAAAAGTTGAAGTTTTGTGAGTGAATGAAAGTTTCTCCTTTTTTTCAAAACATGATCATATTTCATAAACAAACATTATTTTCAAAATTATTTTTAAAAAATGAAGCCAAAATATATGCCAAACGGGAGCTTAGTTTGGTTAGATACATTACATCTTCGAATAGTTGGGTAAGATTTTCTTCTGTTTTAATCAGCTTCGTCAGATTTGTTCTACTTTCCGTGTCCATTTCTTGGGCTCACAAATTTTGGCGAACACATAACGAAAGACTAGTGACTAATAGATGAATCAGGAGCTTGTCAATGATTGGAACAGACAAATATCAATTAATTACCAATTCTTAGTGGAACTGATAATTTGAGTAAAAAAATGTCGTGTGGGTAACCTCATCTGAGATTGTGGAATGTGGAGAGTCAAAAGTGGACCTACAATTTTGAATTTTATGAGTTTAGACTCAGGATCTAACCACTGAGTCCATCATGTTGTTTGAGTTAATAGAGATTGTGGCCAGTAGGAATTTAACCAGCAATCTCACTAAGATTTTGAACTCCTTTGAGCACGGAGCTATGCATTTACATTGTATCAAAGAGATTCAAAATATAACATATAAAAATACAAAACAAATTTTATCTTATATATACGGTGTAATTTTACGGCGAAAAGGGTTCAGATAAACTCCTTCCGTCCCCTTAAATCCACCACTGCGTATAATGCTAGATCCACCCATGTAGGGGTGGTAATAGAGCTTACTTTAAGATGTGATGGTTGGGCCAGGTCGGTTGTATTGGAAAAAAACTGAATCTAAATATTGAAGATGACATGTCATGACACATGGACTGGTCAAAAGGTCAAAACGCAATAAATAGCCAAGAGGCACGGGAGACAACAGATATGAGGAGAAGAAAACAACATAGGTGTGGACCGTTACTCAAATAGGTACGAGTCTCGTACCTATTCGAGTCATTTAAAGACCGAAGATCGGAAGAAGTTGAAGATACGAATCTGATGACGTAAAAGAGTCTAAATACAACATTAAATATCAAATACGTTAGAGAATCTGAATTAAATAGAAATGATTGTGTAACGTTTCTTTTAATGTCATTTATTGCTCATAATTGCCTCATTAAGACAAAGACATTACATCTTCTCCTAGAATCAACTATAAAAGGAGAATGACTCAACATTTGTAAGAACAAGAAATATTATTGAGATTACACTGAAATACAAAATTACTTATTACTTTATTATTCTCAAAAGTCTTTTATTATTTTCGTCTCCAGATTATCAGTAACCCGAATTTCTCTATATTTCTAAGCTTTGACCAAAGACTCAAATTTTTTGTTAAACAAATTTGTCATTATTTAGATAGAGCCAATTTAGCTTGTGGCAAAGAGACTCCTAATATGTGTCTCAGGTCATCCCAATCATTAAAGCATCAAAATTTAAATTCCCCTTTAATTACTTTTATAGAATTGAAATAGGACAAAAACTTAACAATTATGTAAGTTGCAGACTTCAATTCTCATGTTTTGGAAGAAAGTGAAATGAAGTTATCTGCAGACCACATGCCTTTAGCTAAGTACTACCACTATAGACTCAACAAGCTTATACGCAACCTTGGCAATTGCTAATTTGCTACTGACAAAATCCTATCTTCTCCACTAGCCAATATTTCAACTCATGGATTACTATTACTGGTTCTTTTTCCTGTTTGCCGTACTTGTTAATTTAGTTGCATCAGCGCCAACAGGACCTGTAATTAACGTGACTAAGCAAATTTCTTTCCAAGATTTTAGTTCCAAAAATCCAAGATTGAAGCAAGATCTTACACTTCTTGGCAGTGCTATCGTCTCAGACGAAAAATCAACCGTGCAAATTCCTGACCCTGAACAGGAAGGTGATCTTAAGCATTTAGCAGGACGAGCTATTTATGCTTCACCAATCCGTTTCTTTGATCCTCTGTCTCAAACACCAGCTTCTTTTGAAACAACCTTCTCATTTCAATTCCAAGTACTGAAATCCAATTCGAGCAACGGGGCATCAGATCTAGGCAAATCAGTTGGTGG